CCCCTGGACCCACCCCTGGTCCCACCCCCGGCCCAACCCCTGGTCCCGGTCCTTGCGACGTCACCTCTGGATTGCCCGTGCCCGACTCTGAGAAAGGAAGGGAAAAAAACCATGTGGCTATTGAAATGTATGAGAATATAACACACGAAATCCGACGTGAACCGGGAAGGAATGCTTGGGTAAAAAGTTGCCAGTAACGGCAGGGAGGGAGGTGATCATGTAGGGCGAGAGCGTGCTGGTCTCAAAGAATTCTGTGCTTTGTGGTTGTGCCAAGAGCTTTTCGAGGGTAAAAAAAGATGGCAATCATGCGACCTCCCTCCCTCGACAAAGGTTTCACATATATGAGTCTCTAGTAGGGTTAGATGAGCCAGAGTGGATGGATCAAAATTTGCTGAAATTCACACTAGAAACTACTTAAAGAGCCTGCTGTTTTGAGAAACCATGTGAATCACCTGTTGATCGTTTTCACTTTAAGTCTACAAAGACAGCTCCATTAGGCGATTGGTCTTTTAGTTTTAGTAAGAGTTTCACGGCACTTGCAACACAATAAGGTCATATAAGTGTCAAAGATTAGAGGTGTTACAAGAGAGTAACAAAAACAAAGAAGAAGAAGGAGGGGAGATAAGGACGACAGATTTTTTTATAGGAAAGAAGAAGCAAACTACACTAGAGCGCCTGCCAACCACCCACAAAATCCGCCGTGAACCTGGAAGGAACTGCTGTGAAAAAAGTCATAGTACTAAATATACACAGCCTTCGCCGTTCTATTCATTCCTTAAGGGTTGGGTTGGGGGGTGTTTTTTTTAACCTTTAGTAACAGTTTTACGGCACTTGCAACACAGTTAGGTCACAATTAGGTCATTATTCATGCCTCTAAATTGCGTCGTTCAATTTAAAAAAAAAATAAGCTTTTGAAACTGAGAGAGGCTTGATCACTCGAAAATAAACCAAACAGTTGTATATAAAATCTTAAAACTTGATATGCTACAGGTACTGGAAATGTAGAGTTAATTTCTTTTTTTTTCAAAAATGTCTTGTTAAGAAAATTTAACTAAACAAAGAGTCAGCAGTACATCAGGGATATGTTGGAGAATCAAGTTTCCTTTTCCCTGTGCAGCTGTGGACTATCGTAAGTCAGTTGATTCAGTGTTTAAGGCCTTTGGGCTACGTCACATCATAGAAAACACTCATTTGCTAAATAAAGTTTCCATACTGAAAAAGTACAATGAGTGCAGATATTTCTTATCACGGGTCAAACATTGCATATTTCTGTCACTGGGCCCAGTCAGGATCAACAATTTTCCCCCTCTGCCCCTGCCCCGACAAGA